GTAAATATGTTAATAGATTCTTGATATGTATCTTTCATTTTTGGATGTCTCTATTCTTATATGTTTCTATAGATATTCTCGCTTTTTTAATGTATGCTTTCATTTTTTGTATCTTTCATACAGTTATTGGAAGGTCGAAAGAGACGATAGATTTAAATGTTATCGAGAGATACTATTAATTAACTTAGGAACATTGATCAACTAGAATGTGAACATATTGTCATCCTATTGAATTACATTGAAACGAATTAATAAGGGGGATTTGAGGTATTAGTGTTCATCTCACAATCTTACAAAAAGTTTTCATAAATTGCTCATTAGAATAGTTAGTTTAAATAATTAAGTAGCATAAATTCTTCATAAAAATTCGACTATTCAATTAAAGTTAACAATAATCAACACTAGATTAAGTATGCGGTTCTCGTGGGAACAATACTTTACTCTTCACTTGATTACTTGCTCGCGATACCGTACACTTGCCGATTTTCAAACGATCATGGGGTGGTTAATTTTGCAAATTCGAAAAAAAAATAATAATAAAAATAAAATTAACTTTTCAATTTTTAGGATTCAAGTAAAAATATAAGTTGTGTTTCTGTTTTTCAAAGAAATGAAAGGCAAATGTCATGTTTTCCCTAAAATTATTTGATTAGAACTGGGCTTGGATGATTGAAGTGTCTGTTGAGTAGCTTAAATAGCTTCCATGAAACACAGGCGTATATCATTTTTAAAGAAGACTGTTACAGTAGAGCCAGGGTTAAGATTGATACTAAAATCTTGACCATTTTACACAGAAGATTTATCTTATACTACATATATGTAATACTGAGTAACAAATATGTTGAGGATTTTTAAGGACATTTAATTTCTTCTTGTTTAACTTATCTGGATGAACAATATTATGTTTAGCATCAAAAGAAACTGGTATAACCACTCCAAGCGTTATTGCACCTGCCACCCGCAACAAAATACAAGCTCCAGGAAGCAGTATTCTCTTCACAAAACCTGGTTTTTTCTTCTGAATTTTCTCCCCAAATTTGTACGAAAATTTCAAAACCCCACCTGTTTCTGCAGAACCCTTCATGATTGGGAGAGATGAAGTGGCACTGCCTCCCGATTTGTAAGCATAATCAAAAAGTTCTTCGACGGACGTGTGAATCTCTCCGACATATCGATCCCCAAGTGTTCTTTTACAGTACAATTTGATGACCAGTTGGAGGCCGGAGTGCGTAATACCCGATTCGTCAATTTTGTATTTCATTGTATAATTCCATGCTGGATTCAACTGGCCGTGCTTTTCGGCCCGCGTTCGCTGCTCAGTCTTCTTGTCACCACAGAATGAAACTTTGGCATACATTTTGGGTTTGAAATATGTACGGACATTTGGAAGATTTGCCGCAGAAATAATTGTCAGGTTGAACTTCCTATACAGAACATAGTTCTGCTTTCCCATGCTTCTATTTGTGATCGCGTGTCAAATCTCAAGAATTGAGCAAAGTTAGAGGGGAAAGCACCAACTAGGAATATATTTTCTTGAACGTTTCTAATGAAACTTCCTCGAATAAGGTTTGATCAAATTATTTAACAATTAAGTCAACTGTGTTTCATAAAAAAATATTATGACAGAAATTGATTCCATTTATAATTACAGCGTTTTTAAAATATTAAAAGAGACTTATTTATTTAAAATCATTAATGTCAACATTATATAGAATTGAAGAATTCCGCTCTAATAATTAAAAACCACTGAAGTGTTGTTGAACGGTCCCTATGGGAACATAGAATATTGGCTTTACTGATATTTTTCAGTATAAAAAGAAAATAAAATTAAAAACTTTAGTTTGATCACCAGAAGGTGACCGTAGTTTACAGGTAACAATTTCTTGTTGTAGCCTAAATCCCGAAAGGCCCAGTATTTATTAATTAACATTATTCTTTTCGAAATTTTGCAGAATTATTTCCTAATATTTAGTGCATATGGTTTCAACCTTTAGTTGATCCAATGCACATTCTGGACGTTTATAATTGAATCTCCCATCTTTCCAAATTTAACTACCAAAACTTGTGATTCTCCTCCAATTGTCCAATAAATTTTTCAAATTGATCATGCGCAATATAGTTTATCACCAATTGCTCCAAATTGACTCCGATTTAAGCTCAAAATACCTTTTTTCCTTGTCATCAATTGCATCTAAACGCATTAAGTTGAGGATTTACCGGCATTGAACATAATTTAACTTATGTTAGGTAAATATACATTCAGTTAACCGTAATAATCAAGTTTAAAAGCCCAAATAAGATTGTAAAAT